CCGGATAAAACCTGGCGGGTTGACCGCCTACATAGTTCCCGTGCGCATATCTCCTAGTCGATCGGTGTGAGCGGGAGGAGGAAATTGATGGTGGATGAGTGAGAGTGAAGAATAATGAAGGCGAAACCCTGGGTATGACAGACTTAATTGTGCAAACTTCAAACCCACAAATTATATTTCGCGGAACTGATTCTGTTTTAAATAATTTATTAATTTATTCTATCTTATCCTAATCCTAACACCAATATAAAGAGATTCTCCATAAAAACATGTTTAAATCAAAATTTCCAGCTTTGTGACTTATTTTAGGAAGGACAATTTTGCCCACGTTTCAATTAAAGACCATGACTCCCTTGAAAAAAAAAAAAGCTTTTTTATATATTATTAATTGAAAAGAGGGTTTCGTGGGGAAAAACTCAAAATTTCTACATTGATATTTGGTGTTGCCTTCGGATACAAAATAAAAATTCCAAGCATTTTTTATAATTGATAAGTTGGTTGGTTCAATAAAGATGAGTACTAACTACAGATTCATAAACAATAATTATATTTATTCGTTGCTTTTACAAGGTATTCGTGACTATTGATTATGTATTATGGTAATTAAAAGGATATAGTTTGGAGCCGTTAATATTTACAAAGAAAGAAAAGATAAAATTATTATTCAATCCAGTCTCCAAAATTATTATTCACCCTTCAGAAAAGTAAGATAATACATATATTAATTTCAGCCTACACTAGCCAGCTAGCTGACAATGATCCAATATATGCATGATTTTATTCGATCTTCTGCTGCATATATATGTTTGTTGGTAGTTCTTAATTAATTAAGTTAATTAATGCCGAGTCCGACGTCTAGGTATACACACATATAGTCATAGATCCTTATCACTTAAACATTAATTAATATAATAATAAAAGGAGGATGTGATACAATTGGTGAGACAAATCCGTTTGTTTCCACTTTCAGTATTGTTCCAAGTTCCAACTTATTCCATTTGAAGTAATTTATTTATTGACTGCGAGTCTGCGACGAAGCACATGCTAACAACACATGCATCGACTGCGACGAAGAACAGGCTGTCGGTGTTTTTCGGCGAGGAGAAAACTTGTCTTTGAACATAATGAATGCACCTTGACTTTTTGAACAACGATAATCAACACGGTTCACACATCTTCGAACAATGTTCGAACGAGGGTGTTTGATGGTTTTTGGGAACAAACTAAGTTAATTACACATACTCTTATGGAGGTTCACTAAGAGCTCCGGAAACTAAGGCTATGGCTAATTTGCAGAGAAAAGGATAAAGTTTGACATTGTGCGTCAAATGTTTAGTTGTGGAACCCTTGCTTCGTCTTCGTTTCTCCTATTTATAGCCATCCCTTGTAACCGTCGTGCAACCGCCTCTTGGTAACCGCTGCTCCACTGCTTGGTGTTTGATGTGGCTTGCTTGACGCCTTGACTGTCTTGCGTGCTTTCCACTTGATAGCTAACCCCTTGTGCCATGGAGGTGTCTTGTTTGGTGAGTGGAGGCTTCACGCTTGGTGGTACTCGTGCTAACCACCTTGACATGACGTCATGCTCGACACCAGGGTGCTTGGGGGTTCGATGGATCCGCACTGACCCCCTTGGGGTGGCATCATGCTTGACACCCTTGGACGGTTGGATCTCCATACTTAGCCAATTTTCACTTCGGCATCATGCGTGACACCCTAGTGCACGGTAGGTGGACGCGGTACTTGGTGCTTGACCCCCTTGGACGATGTCATGCATGCTTGACCCCCTTGTAGTTGGGTCTCCATACTTAGCCAAATGTTGGCTTTCTTCACCACCATGGTCTAGGGACTCCCTTGCCAACATGCTTGATACCCGGTAGGCGGCTATAGCCCCTTGCGTCTCGTCATACTCGACTCACCTTGGATGGTATCATGTTTGACCCCCTTAGTGCAAGGTAGGTAGATGGCATAGTGCTTGACCCCCCTTGTGCTATGGGTCTCAACACTTAGCCAATTTTTGCCTTCTTTCCCATCATGTCCAGCGGTACTCGCGATGACCCCTTTGCATGACATCATGTTTGACCCCCCTAGTGGTTAGGTCTCCATACTTATCGAAATTCATGTTTTTCATGTCTTGGTACCAAGCCCTGCCCCCTGTCCAAGGAATTCCATACTTAGCCAACTTTCATGTCTTTTGGTATCAAGCCTGCCTTGTCGGCTTGATACCCCTTTTGCTCCATCCTTAGCCAAATTCTATGTCATAGTACCAAGCCCTGCCTTGCCGGCTTGATACCCCGTCGTTGACCTCCTTACTTGGTACCCGATCATTTGGCACCCAGTTGTGCCACCTTGTTTCCAGACTTAGTTTTTGGTAGCCAAATTTCATACCAAGGGGTGGAGACATCATCTGGCTATGGGGGCCACGGAGACGGGTCGACCATCGTATAGAGAAGAAGAGGTTTGGCCACTTAGGCCCAAAAACCCAACCCAATAAGGCCTAAGTAGCTCTTTTAGTTATTAATGTTGAGTTGGCCTTATAAATCCATTAATCCTCTTGTAATTAATCGATGTGGTATAAGCTGCTACTTATTGCATAAGGATTATGGACTAAATAGTTAACATCAACTAAACCACTTAGATTCACACCTCGTACGTATCAAGCTCACCTCTCAAACCCTCCTGCGGCTGAGCTTTGGCTTTATCAAAGTCGATTAAAAGATAAGAAGGCATACTTTTCTCATTCAACCATCTGTATGACTGCGATCTACTAGCCCCCCCCCCCCCCCCCCCTCCCCAAGACAAGTTAACTCCTCATTGGCTTAGTAGCAAATTTTATTTTTATTATTGATGAAGTGTGATACCAATCTACCTTGGCTTCACTGCCCCCATATCAATGTTATACTTTTATCTCAATATACCCTCCATGCTATGGCCAGCTACTCAAGCCAGACTTCATCATGAGGGTATCATGTCACGCCTTACGGTGCGGGCGGCTTGGCATGTCGGCCACCATGGTGGCCTACTAACATTGAATCTTTTGACACCCCACGTCCCAAAGAGAAGGGACGTAAAGCTTGAGATACTTACCATTGATCAATCAATCATGAAACACACCATCTAAATCTTTTAACAAGTAAGCCCCATTGGGTAGGATGACACGGACCATGAAGGTTCTCGGTCACATACTCGATCTCTTGCTCATGTCCTGTAAGTGGCATGGATCCAAACACATTACTGTGGATTATCATTCATAACAATAACCTCTCATCACAAGTCTAACAAAAACTTGCTACTTCGACATCTTCTTCCTTTTTAGCCATGAGTGGCCTATTTTCACTTTTTCTCTCTTTTTTTAACTATTATTTATATAATTAATATAGTAAGGATTGATAGACGTCACTGATTTCCACACCCTTTGGCAACTACCAATGTGCCAAAGGTGTACACCCATTGCCAAATCCATGAATCAAACCAGACCAACCATCCGTACACTACATGCCTTCCCTCCTTAAGGAAAGACCATTCCTTTGGTGTTGATTTTGAATTTTCCAACTTAACAACAGATGGTACTCGTTCAACATGTCCTGCCTTGGTGGGATTGCAAGGGGTCCCCTGCTCCTCTGGCTTAGCCACCTTACTAGACATGTTTGGTTGTTGATGATGAACCTGATGTGTTTGTCTCGTTTCTGGTGGTACTCTAGGTACTCTCAACTCATTGGGCTCATGAAAGAGACCACGAGTTTTTATCTTCCTTGGTTTTGCCCAACCATGGTTAATCATCCCATATAGTTGGGACAAGGAAATTGATGTGGATGAGTGAGAGTGAAGAATAACGGAGGTGAAACCCTGTGTATGACAGACTTAATTGTGCAAACTTCAAACCCACAAATTATCTTTCACAGAACAGCCAAACACTGACTGCGACCGATAATTAATTAAGCACAGGAGGCTGGCAAGGCAAACAGCCAAACACTGACTGCGACCAATAAGAGTGGTGGGTTTGTTGGCTTGGCTCGTTTGGAACTGATTCCGTTTTAAGTAAGTTATTTATTTACTTATTTATTTATTGAGGAATATCATTCATCATCATATTCATATGCCCCTTGCGGTGTTCCAATGGCCATTTCTAGGTCCGGGTCAAGTAAAATACGGTACGGGAAAGTTACGTATAAAATACATACGGATATTTTACTTTATTTTTGAGCTAATGTTACATTTGATAGTACATTAATAATCGTAAATATATAACATTAATTATTTTAAAAATTAATAAATATACAAATAATAGTAAAGTTAGGTGCCTTCTACGGTACTTCGGGTGAAATCCGGTGTACTACATACCTTGAGTATGAAAATGCTATCTAGACCTCGAATTAGCAGGATTTTTGTGCATGATACTATACCCTAACCCTTAATGAGTGAACCGTAGGTCCTAATTATCTAAATCAAAACTATAAACCCTAAGATGGTGCATAGATTTTTTTTTTGGCCTATATTTGGACGAATCATAACCGTCGATTATTGTTTCTAATTAAATTGATCTTGGGGTATAAGATTTAGGGAATTAAGACTTAGATTTTGATCTTTATGGGTTAGAGTATAGTATCATGTCCGAAAGACCAGTCAATTCAAGTTCTAGATAGCGTTTTCTTACTCAAGGTATGCGGTACCTCGGATTTCACCCGGGGGTACCGTAGAAGGCACCAGTTAAGTTAACAATTTAATTAATACGGATATTAAATGTGATATACGAGTTTTATACGTGTTTAGTACGGGAGCCATCAAATAAACGGGAAAAAATGAAACGACTTGACAATAATACGGATACAAATCCGATCCATACATGTTTGGTTCTTCCACACCTAGCTACCACCCCATGTGATAGTTGGTTCTCTCCATCTACCACCCCATGTGATCAAATAATTAGCGGTTGATCTATGTCTGGAGATACAAATGTCTGTCCTTAAGATACTCTATAAACTTGTAGTCCGATCGATGTAAGCTAAGTGAGTGAGGGACTATAATGCGCGCAAGCTCTACATCTGTCTCATTAAGTCAGTAGTATAGCATGGATGATAAATTAGCCGTAGATGATTGGTCCTTGGGGACCACCAAACAGATAGCACTTCTCAATCTCATCCCCATTAGTATTCGACTGATCTCCACCCTTTTGTTCATATCAGTAATCCTCCTAGTGCTAAAAAGGTGGTTCACAAAGTCGTCAAGACAGCTGCCAGGGCCATGGAAGCTGCCGATAATCGGGAATCTGCACCAGATGGTCGGCCCGTCTCTCCCCCACCGCCGTCTGACGGAGCTGGCCAGGAGATATGGGCCTCTGATGCAACTTGAGCTGGGCCAAGTCTCCTTCGTCGTGGTGTCCTCGCCGGAATGGGCCAAAAAGTTCACGCAGGCCCACGACGCCAACTTCGCCAGCAGGCCGCAGTTACCTGCCCCCAGCATCGTGATGTACGGCGGCCGGGACATTGCATTCGCGCCTTACGGCGAGTACTGGAAGAAGATGAGAAGGATCTGCGCTACGCAGTTGCTGGGCCCGAAACGGGTCAAGTCTTTCCGGCCCATTGGGGAAGACGAGATCAGTAAGCTGGTCGGATCTATCATCGCCGCCGACCACCAGGCTGGCAACGGCCGCCAAGGTACCATTCCTTTTAGACCGCTTTGAGTTTTCATGTAATGTAATATCACGCTTTAGCAGGTAGGCTAGGCGGTTTTATTTTTCAATTGCTAGCTAAGCTAATTAACCCGCTGCAGCAAATTGATTAATTAATTAATTAATTGGGTAGAGCATCTGGTTTCGTTCGTGCATGCAGCTGTGGATGTGACTGAAATGCTGATTTCCCTGGGGAACTCCATCACTGTACGTGCAGCCTGTGGGAGGATTAGTGATCAGAAAAATGTGAAAGCTTTTTTGCCATTAATGGAACAGATCATCGAGAAACTGGGAGGGTTCAGCATTGTGGATGTGTTCCCTTCCAGCAAGCTGCTGCGTCTCATCACAGGGTTCGACGCCAAACTGAAGGAGCTTCACGAAGCAGCCGATGCCGTCATGGAAGCTATAATCACCGACCACTTAGCCAAGAAATCTTCAGCAGAACATGGTGATGAAGATCTGGTTGATGCTCTGTTGGATCTCAGGGAGAACAACGACCTCGGATTCACTTTCACCAACCTTGAGATTAAAGCTGTCATCCTGGTAATTAAGTGTTTAGCTAGCTAATTAAGCTGTCATTCCAGTATTGTATTGTATTTTTTTTTTTTTTTAACAACACGATGTTTAGTAACTCTTTTAATTTGCAGGACATATTCCTCACCGGAACCAACACATGGACTGTAATGGTAGAATGGGCAATGGCAGAACTCATGAAGAATCCAGATATCATGGAAAAAGCACAAAAGGAGGTGAGACAAGTGTTTGACGGGAAAGAAAAAGTGGCGGATGAAGCATCCATCGGCCAACTACACTATCTACAACTAGTTATAAAAGAGACTTTAAGATTACACCCTCCTGGTCCTTTAGCGATTCCAAGAGAAAGCCTCGAGACAAGGGTGATTGATGGATATGAAATACCGGCTAAGACAAGGGTCCTCATCAACGTAGGGGCCATTTGCCAAGATCCCACACACTGGAAAGAATCTGAAACCTTTGACCCGGAAAGATTCCTCGATACGTCCATTGATTACAAGGGGTTGGATTTTCATTTTATCCCATTCGGAGCGGGCCGAAGAATATGTCCAGGTATACACTACGGAATTGCTAACATCAATCTCGCGCTGGCTAATCTACTCTATCATTTTGACTGGAAGCTCCCCAGCGGAATCACGCCCCAATGCTTCGATATGTCTGAAAAGTTCGGCTTGGAAGTCAAAGGAAAAGACAATCTACTCCTCATTCCCATTCCATACTATCCTAAGTAGCTAGAGTTCCATTAGAAACCTCACGTGGGTTGTCAAGTGAGGCGTTTCTTAGAGTTTGTTGTTTTGAGTCTTTCGTAAGTTAGTTGAGTTTGTTTCGTTTAAAGGTTAAGAGGACGCATGAGACATCGGCTGTCTGAGTGCTATATGATGGAGCATAATGTCTCGGACGAGGAGGCCACCACCTTTATGTGAGGAGAGATTTCGGACCGTCGTGTGCCATTTTCAATCAGTGGTCTAGTTTGATTTGAACGGGCAACAGTTTGAATATTTGGTTCTGATGTTTGTCTCCAGCTCCCCTACTAGTTGTTCTTCATAAACTCATTGCTAGTTTTTGTGTTTTTCGGATACAGTTACATTATTCTAGTCTGAAACATCATTCATCGGGTGGATTTTCAGCTTTAGTAATAAACATAGTTTTCTTTCAATGTTTTTCTTTCTTTGTTATTAAATATATTAACTGGCTAATATTAATATTTCTTTGTTATTAATTCTATATAAGGTCGATCTTAAAGTGCAGATTAGGTCGACCTATTCCTATATAAGGTCGAACTAAAAGTGCAAGTTACACTGACATGCATTTCACCGTAGCAAAGTCCTAATTGTTTTTTAAGGTGTTCAGCAATTTTTATATAATGGTCATATATATGTACTTTTTTTTTTGGTTTAGTCATTATTTAAGTGATTTGAATCTGTCATCTAGGATCTCATTACTTAATTACAATGCTTTCTAACTAATGTTTACATATTAATTTATCATACATACTTACTATTGTTTTTTCCTTTATTATTTACAAAATGATTGAGAATCTCATCAAATTGCACTACACAAAAGTTTTTTCAAATCTGTTATTTATTACATACCAATTTATAACGTTTTCATAACTTTAATTTATTATGAACTAAAATATTCACTATGAGTTTGCATTACTCAATGGTTTCACAATTTAAATCAAATTTGATCATTTCCATAGTTAGATTTTATTATTAGATCATACATTACGAAATTTTTAAGTAACACGTTTCTCTACGTTAGCCAATATTTAGGAAGGGATAGTTATTCCTTATGTATCAATCAAACAAAACGTTTTACATAAGTCTTCCGTAATGATTAAGACACTACATAAAACTTATGGATATAATGAGGATATATGTTTACTTTTTGTGATTTGGACAATATTTAAAGAATTCGAACCTGGGACATCCAAGTTCTTATTATTTAATTGCAATGCTTACTTAGTAAAGTTTACATATTCGTTATCAATTTGCGTTACAAAAATTTTTGTTAGGTATTTTATTTATTACATAAAAATTTAATTAAATGTGATAATTTTCATAACTTAATTAACTTACTATTAACTAAAACATTCACTATCAATTTGCATTTACAGAAAGGTTTCGCAATGTAAAGTAAAATTTTCAAAATTGTGTGATAAACTTTGATAATTTCCATAGCCGGATTTTATTATTAGATCATACATTACAAAATTTTTAAGTAAAACATTTCTATAGTCGTTACCTAACATTTAGGAAGGGGTAGTTATTTCTTATGGATTTATGATAAGTCTTCCAAAATGATTAAGACACTAAATAAAACTTATGGATTTATGATAATTTCTTATGTGTCAATCAATCAAATATATATTCACAAGTCTTTGATGATATAAGTTTGCATGATAGTTTCTTTAAATTGTTGACCATCTCATTAATTTGCATTACACAAAGCTTAGACAGAGTTTGTTATATTTTGCAAAACAATTTAGAAAATATAATTTTTTATTATTTAAATATTTAATTATGAAATAAAATTCATTATATATAATATTTTTTTCTTGGCAGTTTGCATTACACAAAGATATTATAAAGCAAGTTAACATTTACATAATATTTATTCACATGTTATACTTTTTCCTAACTTGATTTTATTATTGGATCACACAATACAAAAGATTTACGCCACATTGTTCTATAGTAATTATGTAAATGACAAATACATTATATAAATTTGAAGGAAGGATAATTCTTTCTTATATATCAATTAAACAAACATATTGCATAAGTATAATTATTAAGGCTATGTAAGATCCAATTTGGGAGGATAAGGATGAAAAAGGTCACAAGGACATTGTGGAGCATACAAAAGTTGTAACGAAGAAATCTCGTGATGATCATGACCAAGAATATCCTCTTCTAGCTGATCACACCTTTCTGCATTCCACACCAAGCTTTGAAGAGGTGGGCATGAGTGAGGAGATGCAAGATGATCTCATCAAAGAAATTGCTTGGCGACTTGCTCTCCAATCTATGCTGGAAGAATAAGAGCGAGAAAGGATGAGGAAAGAAGTTGCGGAGGATGATGAAAGTGAAACAAAGGAAGTTCTTGATCTTTCACAAGGGGATGAATCAAATTTTGAGGAAGGAAGGGGGTCGAAGAAGCAATTGGCGTCCAGGATGAGGTCGAAGTTGTGGTGGAAGAGGCTTACATATGCCATGACTTACATGTGATATCTCCACCAAACTTCAAGGAGCTACTTGGAAAGGACCAGTTTGCAGTGTCTTTTTGCCAGATCAAGGCCACAACGACATCGGTCCCTCTTGGTGGACGCAAGGGTGGTCAATCGATGTTGTCATATCTAGTTTGGGGTAATGAGACAAGAGATGGGCTAGGGGAAATCATACCTAAGTGAGTTCCCAATCTGTAATTAGTAGTTTTACTTACTTTAGTTAGTAGAGTAGTTTAGTTAATCAAACCTTAATCTGATTTGCTAGATCATGAACTGAAGCTGAGTAATAGTAACTCTAGAGACCCGTAGATTCGATATTTATTACTAGTGCCACTATTCTGCAGTCGTTTTCATTGGTTACACTTGGTCATTGTTAGAAGTTGTGTTTTAGAGAGTCAACTGCCCTCTCACTCGACACTCGACCACTAGCTATTTTATCAAGCAAGGGGCATCACGTGTCTCCTGGCGCACCAAAAAGCAATCTGTGGTTGCTCAATCATCAGGTGAAGCAGAGTATCGTGCTATGGCCATCATGTTAGTGAAGTTTTGTGGCTCGATGGCTTCTACGTGATCTAGGTGTTCATCTATCCACGCCTACCTCTCTTTATTGTGACAATCACGCTACACCCATATCCCGACGAATCCGGTATTCCATGAATGCACCAAGCACGTCAAGATGGAGTGCTACTTCGTCCGACAACGAATCTAGTCTAGTGACATCCTTCCTCTCAATATTGCCACTCAAGAATAGCTAGGTGACCCTTTTACTAAGGTGTGTACGAAGGGTTGACACCCTTGTTAGTTGTAGGAACGTATTATCCAAGGGTTCTAACCCATGTTACGAGTGGCCTTTACTTGAATTTTACATAGACATACAACAAGGACTTAACCCCTTGCTACATCCACTGCAAAAGACTTGCACCAAGGGTCGCTTATAACGCTTGCTACACGTAGCAGGGGAGGCTTTGCCAAGTGTCCGTCTAAGGGTCATGCGAACCCTTGCTACATCCTGTGCTACGGATGAAAATAATCATTGCCATGAACCTTTTTTTATTTTTTTGTAGTGGCATGAAGCCAAGAAGAGAGGTTCAAGGGAAGGTTAATTATATTTTCAAATTGTTAAGATAAAATTGGTAATGAAAATAATCATTGCCATAGACTTTTTTTTTGTAGTGGCATGAAGCCAAGAAGAGAGGTTCAAAGGAAGGTTAAATATATTTTCAAATTGTCAAGATAAAATTGGTAAATATTTTGGAAGTAATGTAATTACTGTAAGAATTAAATCAGTGGCTGGATGGTAGAACGGTCATACCTATTAAAGTAGCGGTTCAGTTTATTTATTTGGACAGTAAGGTATAGATTGAAGTGTTTTTAACAAGAGGAATTTTACAGTGCTTTAAAGCATTGGTGCTTTAGTTTTTTGTTTTATGATACAATTTAAAGTTGTCCTTCAATGTTATGGTACAATTTAGGTTGTACCTCTTCTGTTTTGTAAATTCCCTTTATGGTACAACTAAAGTTGTACCTTTATGTTCTGGTACAAATTCACAACTTGAAGTTGTACCACAACATAATGGTCTCATTTCTTTATAGTACAACTTCAATTTGTACCTTTAACGTTATGGTACAACTTAAATTGTACATAAAGCACCAATGCTTTAAAGTATAGTAAAAGTGCTCTTTTAACAATTGTACTACATGAACGAATACGGTGATGAGCTTGACTTTCAACGACCTTATCTCCGCCACATCACACTTCAGGAAGGACTAGCTGGTTGCGGAGGGACAGCGAAACCGACAGGTGAAGAATAATCGGGCTATTTTTTACACAAAAAATCAGTGCTGTCAAAGCCGAACCGAGCCGGCTGGCCGGACCGCCAAAGCCGCCACCCGGTCGTAAAACCGGCTCGGATCAGCTATTTAACCGCCACGGTTTTATACAGCGGCCGGCGAGCGGCCGAAGCGGTTAACCGTTCGAGCCGCTCAAGTCGGTCGCGCGGTTCGGCCGTTTGGTTTACTCTAAAAAAAAAAATTAGAGAAGGCCAATCGTGGAATGGGGCAGCCAAACAAAACCCTAACTTTCATTTTAACTCTTCATTTTCGACCTAGAAGTAGAACAGACGACAGAGGGAGAGCGGCGCCACCCTGCCGCCGTCAACAATAGCCCCAGCTCGCCAAACAAAACCCTAACTCGCCATCGCCCCATCGCTTCCGTCCCGTCGCCGTCTCCATCGCCAGTCGCCATCGTCGCTTCTGCTCCCCGCTCCCGGCGCTTCTGTCCCCGTCGCCATCGTCGCAAGCAGCCCCCTACTCCTGCTGCAACATCTCCCCCACCAATCTGGCCATTGATTGAAATCTGGCCATCCACCAATCTGTGCTGTGAATTTTATGATTGCGGGCCTTCTTCTTCTGTGAACTGTGAGCTGTGAATGTGATTATTTACATTTACATGAATGAATGAATGGTATGGATCAGAGCAGTAGGTAGGGCATGCAGAAAAAGGGTATTGGTGCGGTGGCCATGTGAGTTTAGGTTTACACAAGTTGGGTACACATCATAAACTGACAAAATGTTTTATTGACATATGGTCTTTTATCCCAACAATGTGGTGGTTTGGAATTGAATTTTAGATCTTTCAGTACTGATGTTCTAGAATCTTTTAAGAGAGTAATTTACTTGTGGTTTACCATGATTAAGAAGTGTCTACTATTTATACATATGACTGTTTATTAGGTACCGGTTCTCAAACGGTTTTTAAACGGTCTAATGCCGGTGGACCACTAATGACCGAGCCGTTCACGTTACCGGGTCATACTCCGGCTCGGCTTTGACAGCATTGCAAAAAATAGATCAAATGTGATATTTTCATATAACTTAATTCATCTAAAAAATACTATAAGGCAATGTTAATAAAACTCCTTT